TGTCCCAAAGACAAGATGCGTGTTTCTTACCTGTAAATTACAAGCAAATCAAAGGCAGGTTTCATTACAATACTAAACAATGGCAGGAAGTACAAATTACTGTATATTATTGGAAAATGTGACATCACTGTCATTTACCTAAACCAATTAGAGTTCCTGTTACCCAGATTATGTCAGATATCAGCAGTGCCACAGACAGAACTCCACTTATTACATTTCCATACTTGATCTGGAACGGGTCCATCATTGTCACATATTTTTGGTCTCTCATTGTCTTGGCAAAGAAGAGTCCACCTTAATCACACAGAGGGAGACAGATTTGTGTCACTGCATGTATCCCTGCATTTTGTCCATTTTGTCCAAGAGCTGTAAACAGACGTTGATGTGTAAAATGGTGGAGTTCCCCTTTAATGTACATTTGAAAAACGCAAATGTAAGTATTCACTATTTTGTGCTGACAGCCTCAGGTCTTTCAAGACATGTCCACAAACAACTAATACACGCATATATATACAAAATCAGTATTTCAGCTGAGATGGTCGCAGTATGCGATGTCACAGCTACCTGTGATGTTACTAATGGAAATATAATATTCAATATCATAGTGAGGGAAAACCTGAAAACCTGTCTTACCAATAATGAAAGACAGGGCTGCTGTTACTGGCATGACAGCCCAGGTGAGTCCCATGGTTGGAGTGTACACTGCCTCTGTCAGACCAACAATGAAGCCACCTCCAACGAATGTAGCTTTAGGAAACATGCATATGCACACACAAACACACATAAATATTCCCTATATTTGTGAGACAGATTTGCAGCAGCATACCGACCATCGTTGATCACATTGTAACCTTCTGTTGAGGCTAAACTGACCTGTGAGAAATACAAAATTTTCCCAAATTTTACACATTTTTAATCTTTTCATCTTTCATAAATTAGCTTTATTTGACTTTTTTTTTGTCCCATTCTTTACCACTTTTCCAACTACTAATATTCCTTCAGCTACCTCCTCATACAAATTAAAGCTAGAAATTCAGTTTAGGGTCAGCTTTTCAACCAACATTAAAAATTCCACATCTTTATTGCTATTATTAAACTTTTAAAGCCCGCAATGCAGTTTAGGTCCCAGTTTACACTATATTTTCCACCATGCAGAACTTTTGTCACACACAATCTTGTATTATTTCTGAACAATTTTTAAATAGTAACTTGTCTCTAGCTGCTTTTTTTCTAAACTGGACCATAATTTACTAAATTAACATCATGCTGGATGGAAGAAGACCTGTAACTAACAACTGAGGCGATAAAGTCATTAGGAAACTGTTTCTTGAGTTAATAAATCAAGTGAGAAGTCGGGTCATTTCTCTGTAAGACTACATGCTATAGGTGGGTTATAGCAGCCAATGGAGCTGCCCCCTGTCGTCCATTACATAGAATACAAGTATAGGACATTATGTTGGCTTCACTTCACAGACCCAGAATCTCTGTCCATTATATATACTCAATGTTCTTGATGTTCTTACAAACTAATCAATAGAGAAATGGTAAAGTCCCTAAAATAAGGAAGGCTTTAATTTCCTCTACCAATTAAAAACTGTATGAGACATCACAGAGTGTATAATGTACATTGTAATAAATTATATATGTAAATATTCAACTTACATCACAGTGGAATTCAAATGTACTGAAATATGGCTAATTATGACGATTGTTTTAATTTCGAAATCTAGTCAATCGAGATGTTACCCAAAACAATTTGTTCTACTTACTTACTGCCCCTATCACACTCACCTGTCATGGTGAAGACTCCTACCACCAGGCTGATGCCTCTGTTGCCCAGCAGAGTGACCTCTGTCCGGTCTGCCTGGCTGTTTTTGTGCACCTGCTTGGACTTCATGGAGGCCCAGATGCCGGTGCCCAGCACCAGCAGGTAGAAGAACACCATCACCACCAGTCCTGGGACGTTCAGGCTCATCGTGGACTAACTTAACAGACTGATGGACTGACTGTTGCTCCCTCAATTGTATTTATGTGTTTAAAAAAAAAAACAGGACTGTTATACTGTTTTTATTCTGGGGAAAAAAAAACCTTGTTTGTACTTTTTTTCACACTGAAAGAGTGTTTTTGTTTTTCTGCACCTCCCTGGCCTCAGTTTTCAGCTTTAAAACTCTAAGCCAATTATGTATATTTTATCCAATCACGGATCATTTCAAGACATAGGGTGCAAGGGTGTGTGTGTGGTATTTGTGTTCAACCTGAGATAAAAAGACATAAAACCAGATATTCAGAGGATGTAGTCAAGAGGTTAAGTTCGGAATGCAGATGGGTGAGCTTGTGCATAACGATTCCAGATCAGTTTAGCAAGGATGTCAGTGCAATGAGTGTAATGTCACCAAGGTGTTCAAGAGACTATTGATATGCATACCCTTTAACGCTCTTCTCATATCTTACATCCATTCCAAGCAAGCAGTGGGATGTGAGACTTCACTGAAAATCCAAAAAAAAAAAAAAAAAAAAAAATGGACATGATTTTAAAAGGACCCATCGTTGCCACCACACTATCAATTTGTCTTACGCCCAGAACCCAGAAATGTGGAACTGTGTCAAGTGACAAAGGGATACTGCCTCCTTTAGATTGTCACTCTTGTCACATATGGAGGTGTGGAGGGAGTCGCATTCAATGGATGATTTTGAATACAACTTTACCATAAAGACAAGATCGATACTTTGTATGTTTATTTAAAAAATATGGTTCCCTTTTTGACGCATCCTTTTTCAAGATTTCCAGGAAAACGTGGTAATCAAAAAGCATAATTTCTGATTTTAACTTTACGTTACCACCACTATCTTTGTCTTAACAACAATTATGGTCTTACTCGTATTCATGTGCATCATACACTGCATGTAAAGTCACTAATGATGGGTGATTTATCATATTGCATTTAGAAAAGAAAGTAAAAGGCTTCCTTTTGAACTTGGTACAAATGCTTACTATCAAAATATTTTTTTTTTTTTGTAAAAACATTTTTTTTAAATAATTAAACATTTAATTTTGTATTTAGGACCTGCAGGACATCCTGCCATTGTATTAATTACTGCACAGATTGAAGCTGATGGTCTCTCTCACTCACTTTCAGAATCACTGCTTTACTTAAGTATAATGTAGCAATACCACAATATAAAAACTTCAGTTAGCAAAGTAAAGTCTTGCATTTACCAAAGTAATAAATTAATGGCGATCTGCGGTTAACTCATGATAAAACTCAGTTATTTATTATCAGCACCAGCAGAGAATAACTTCATACTAAAACGCCAGCTCATCATCAGTGATAGTGACCTAACCACACTTATGAGTCAACACCTCTGCTAATAATTAACGAGTTCTAACAAGAATGTGAAAGACACCCACTTAACTCAAATTATAACTCCATTTAAACACTGCAGAAACATGCAGCAACATAGACTTTAAATTCAGGATCCCGCCCTTCGATGCCCATCCCAGGAGCTACAATATTTATACTAAACAATGATATAAGTTGTATAGTGCCCAGTACCTAAAGTAGCAAAAGTAAAAGTACTGGGAACATTTAAGGGTACAAATTATATTAAGTAATTTAGGCGTGGTGTCAGTGATGATTAACGAATGTGATGGTATCATGAATACTATGGACTTTTTGTGGTTACTCACACATGAATTAGTGAAGCATGTACTTATTTGATTGTATCCTTATTAATAAAGTGTATTTTGCATATATTAATTACTGATGCATGGTATATGTACAACCAGCTTTGAAAGTGGCGGCTGGTTGGATGGGTTGTTATCTACACAATATAATGTGGTAATTTAATGTAGTTGCCAACCTGTTGATAAACCAGAATCCCCTGTTATATTCCGTCATATAGATTCCTTATAATCATTACTCTAAAAAATCAACATTAACTACAGAAACACTATAGCTTACAAATAAAGTAAGAGTAAAAGTCAATATTTGCCTCTTGAATGTTTAGTGGAGTTAAATTCATACATAAATGTAAATAGTCAGATAAATTAATAAACTCACAACTATACATTAATTTACGTTAAATACTAGTAAGTAAAAGCACTTGCTTAGTGTTACTCCACCTCTGCTCACTCAGTTTTATCTACTAGTACCAGCTCCCTCAAGTAGATGTTTATTACAGCCAGATTAATGTCACAAACGTAGCTGGCTATTACGACTAACTGTGTAAATATGTTACAGGAGCCATTAGCTGGCAGTTAGTTAAACTGTTTAACCGGTTTAAACAAACGATGCGTGAAATGAATGAATATTCCACTCTCTGGTTTCACTTACCAATCTGCTGTTTGTGCTGCTCGCTGTCTAGGAATAATGGACCTCAAGCAGGCTGTCTCCCTCCCCTCTGCCTGTCTCCTCCCCTCTGCTTCTCCTCCCCTTCTGCCTGTCTCATGGCTTGATAAGATTAACTGAGGTTGAAATATCATTTATATCTTCGCTGCTGCCCATAAAATCATACTAATGTTATTCTGAAGAATAAAAATGATGGTATTCGGCATTTAAGTGTAATTTTTCCTTAGCTGGTAACCAATCTGGTTGTTTCCAGACAGAAAACAAGCAGCAGAAGCAGGACTCCTCATGCAGCATGGTTCTCCCTCCCCTCTCCTGTCTCCCTCCCCTCTGCCTGTTCCCTCCCTTGCCTGTCTCCCTCCCCTCTGCTGTCTCTCCCCCTTGCCTGTCTCCCCCTCCTGCCTGTTTAATGGTGCTTGATAAATAAGCGTTAATAATTATAAGATAAGAGTTAACTGGAGGATGAAATATATGTATATCTCGCTGATGCCCCATAAAAATCATTAGTTCTTGAATGAGATCAAAATGATGGTATTTGCATTTTAGGTGTAATTTTTCCTTAGCTGTAACCAATCTTGGTTGTTTCCAGACAGAAAACACAGTGGCGGACTGTGTTTGAAGGTTAGTGGCAAAAAAATAAAAAGGGCACACAGGCAGCTGTGATGTATTTATGGTGAAACAGGTTGTCGGGTTACAATTAGCACTCGTTGTGTCAACTTCCGTCAGACAAATATAGTGGGCTGGAGTAAAAAGCACAATATTTGCCTATGATGTGTAGTATTGACAACATTTAAATATAGTTCAAATAGAAAAAGAATCAAAGGCACTAACACTTGAAAATCAGTTCATTTTAAAGTAAGAATTATTACAGCATTATCACAAATTATGTGATGGTATTAACATAAATCAGGTTAAACTCTAACTGGATTCATCTGCTGTATAACATGTATAACAAAGGTGTTTTGATGCCCTGTTGATTCACAGCAACCTGGCAACCAAGATGAGCTTCTAGTCTGGGGAGGAGGGGCTGGCCAGGACAGACAACTTGTGACAATATTTTAAATCCGGACTGCGGTACTCATTTTAAACACTTGCTGTCAGTCTATATTGCTTCTTTAAAGGTAAATATAAAAGGTAATCTGGCTTCTTTTAATTTTAATGTGGCCTAGGTGGTGTGACACAGTTGTTATGTGGTGGTTGGGTCTCAACAGGAGTAAGCATATAGACCAGGAAACACAAAACCTGGAGCAAAGTTTGCGCAGAGTACTTATTGAAGGCTTTCACAGAAATGTACAATTGAGTGGAAACTACTGCCTCACGCTGCCAGATTACATCTCACAAGCTCCAGTTATAAGTCCATTTCAGAAACATATTGGACCAATCAGTAAACATTTAGACCCAGATGTTTTAAATGAGACAATTTTGATATTAAATGAAACACAATTATGCAACTGCAGGGATTGTGGATAGTTTTGAAACCAGTTGTAGAACAGCTGCCGTATCTTTCCAGTCTGGAAACTGGAAGCAAAGGTGACGGCCCAGTTGACAGTGGTGTGTTTGTCCAGTCAGAGACGGTTCATGGGTGGGTGGCAGACAAAACTGCACAGTTACTCTATTGTCCAGCCTACTTGAGATGGCATCTGTTTCTAATTCATCCATGGCTGGAGGATTTGATTTGTCATTTGTAATGATGGCGGGAAAAAAAAACACACATTAAAATAAAGGCTAAAGCAAATTGACCCTATGTGTTTGGCTTTTTGGGCTGACAATAACATTAGATATATGCTCATCGACGAACACATCTGAAATAAGTCTTTTAATGGATTTATATTTTCCTCCACAGTCCCATTAAGTTGAGCTCACTAGATAGCAGCTTCATTATATTTTGCAGGGACCCAGAAACCAATCAGTATACTGGAATACTGTCTGAACCCAGTTTGTGGTGATTTGTGGCAACACAACGTTATTTATGTGCACCACATGATCACCCACATCCTGCACAGTGACTTTCAGCTTTAATGGTGTTTTGTGTTGATTCCTGTTTCCTGTTTGTTATGCTGCTGGACTGGTCTTTTTTTATGATTGGTGGTTTCACGATGTGTGCTGCTGGTTTTATGTGTTGTGTGTTACTTACTGTCTGTGTTGTTGCGCTGTGTTGTTTTTGTAAGTAATTTAATTATTTGTTATTTTTGAGCCCAGTATGAACTAAAATAATAAAGGTATTAAGAGTATAATTGTTGGGCTGGTCGATGCCAGTAAGAAAATTTGAATAAATTGAATAAATTAACGAAATTAAGGGATTCTATAGAAGATGAAAGATGTAGAAAAAAGTTGAGTTTGTTAAAAAATGTTTGTCTCGTCAAAATAATAATCTTATAACCTGTAATACGTGCTTTAGTGTCTTGCTGCATTGATTAAACAAGGGTCACCTAGCAGCCATTTAATGTGCACTTCATGTTCTTCACCCCGGGAGGCAGTAACGGTCGATAACGTGTGTGCGCAGGCGCAGTGGCACTTCACACAACCGCAATAAGCAAACATGGCGGCGGCCGTCGACAGTGTTGTGAAAGTGTAAGTTTACCTTTATTTATTGTGAGAGTAAAACGAGCAGCCACACGGCGCTGAACGTATGACTGGTTAGTTGTTGTATTACCGCAGAGGGAAGGACACTTTAAACCTCGCAGCCTCGATGTTGAACACAGTATTTGTCCCAAGAGAATAACGTTACCCGGAGCTAAGGTTAGCCTGTTAGCTGTGCACTAATGTATAAATGAGGAGTGGAGCTGCTGTGTGAGACTCCACTCATCCTCAACTTGGCTGTGTCCTTTAGGGTGTTTTTGCCACACACGATGTTTCCCAAAACTGTTGCTAGCCGACCGCCTGCAGGTGAAGGAGAGAGTTAATTTTCCAGAAAGCTGTCAGCTTGGCGGGGGCTTTGTTGTGGCTCGCTAACAATCAACCCTTTTGTTCTGAACGTCCCTCCATCGATACTGTCGGTGTTGGGGGGGCTTCGTAGTGAAGTCTTGGTTGTGTGTGTGTGTGTGTGTTTTTATTGTATTTCATTTAATTTGAATAAACGCAGAGCTCGTACATCGCCAGGACAGCCAGTGTGTGAGCAGTGTTGGTAGAACAATGCGACAGATTAATAAATGCTGCATGTGTGAGGAAGAGCACTCACTCGTGTGTCTGGAGTAATTGTTCGGGTTTAGTCACCCTGAAGATGGCGGCTGTGTTACAGATGTGATAACGTTAAGGAAAAAGCATTATTACAGTGTGATAAATGTGCAGTAAGTGGAGGGATTACACCGCTTTTTCCTTTGTGGTGCTCTTTCACTAAACTCAGTTTGTGAGCATATTGTACAATACGTTTTTAGTGCTGTGAGCAGACACATAGGCGTTTAAGAAAATGTGTTTTAATGTGAAGAGTAGTTTAATTGTGAATGTGTCCGTTTGCTAACGTGTTAACAGAACCCAGCTGATCAATAGACCAGGTTAATGATTATCTTCTGATATGAGCTTATTGCACATATACACTTATCTGTGGATATGTGGGCAGATTAGATATTTTTGAGGTAAAAGTATTGATGTTTTTTTTACATCATTTGTTGACCAGAGATCACTTAAATGTAATTTTTTAGCTGTAAAATGTTCTGCTTAGTACATATATTGGTCACAAATCCTTAAAAGAAAAGAAATTAAAACGATTTGACAATTAAAAAAACAGTTAAGTGACTATTAATTTGTCAAACTGTTATTCACAAGGTCAAGAATTGACTTTGGCACTCACATTTAAGGGACTTTTATCTTTGTATGTCTTTATGTGAAAAAGAGAAACAACATGTAATCCATGTAAGACGTTGCATAGATAAACAACTTCATCACCATCCAGTTTTAAGAGTAAAAAGTATTGCAATAGAGAGTGTAAGAGTGTTTATACAGTTTATCAGTTGTTCACAATACTGTTAATTATTTTAAGTTGCAATATTTATCCGGCATGATGATTAATGGGCTAACCTGATCTGTGTTATTTGACCCGTCAGTGTCCAACTTTCCCGTTTCAGGCTGGGAGAGCAGTATTACAGAGATGCCATGGAGCAGTGTCATAGTTACAACGCTCGTCTGTGTGCTGAGCGCAGCATCCTCATGCCCTTCCTGGACTCTCAGACTGGCGTAGCCCAGTCCAACTGTTACATCTGGATGGAGAAGAGACACCGTAGTGCAGGTATAAAACAAGTGCTGACTGATAATTCAATATTATACGAACAAATACTCTGCAGACTCTCATAAAAAAATCGGAAATTGAACTTTGACGCATGCCATCTGTGCAGAAAATACACCCTTTTTTTTTTTTTAACTTTCAGAGTTATAAGTGCCATAGTCACCTGCTGTTCTGTGTCTTATCAGGTGTAGCTCCAGGGCAGCTGTACACCTATCCAGCCCGTCGCTGGAGGAAGAAACAGCGTTCCCATCCCCCCGAGGACCCCCGCTTGGCTTTCCCGCCTCTCAAAACAGGTATGCCTTCAGATGAAACCCATCACAAATACAGTGAAGGGGTTGTGTTCATCCATGCTGGTAGAACTCTACCAGTAAAAGTGTGTAAATATATTTAGTATCGTCTGTCTTTCTACATGTGGATGTGTTCATGTAATACCATTGCACGCATTAGTTTCGGTTTGTGTGGATAGCAGATTTGGAGCTGGGTCTGAAGCGTGATGCGCTGGGGGCGGTGGACGGCAGCAGTCTGGAGGCCCTGCTGAAGGGGGAGCCCCTCGACAGGAGGAGCGGAGTGTCGGACATCCGCGGTCCTGAGGACGACTCTGCAAGCGTGGAGCCTCCTGCCACCTCAACGACCACTACGTCCTCTGGTCGTGTCCGTAAGGTCTGCCTCGAAGCTGAACAGTGTTGTTTTGAACCAACGCGACTGACCCGTAGAGCGTTACAGTATGCAGTTGCACTCAACGGGTCAAAACAAACCGTCAGTCGCTCTCTGAGGATTTCATTTCAGGACCAAGGTCTTTTTCGTTTGGTGACATTGTTACTAGAGCACCGGATGAAGAACAGGGATGAGTTTATTGTGTTACAGTCGTCTGTTGCCCTCCACTTTACTGCTCAATGTTTTCATTTAGTTTAGTTTCATTCATCTGTGAGGTGATTATAGCTTTCGAATTGAACTTATTTCTCCAAGTTAGTCAGTAGTTCCCACAGCGGGACAGAGTTCCTTTCCAAATATTTTCTGATTTTCTGATCTGTTTAGAAACTTAAGTAGTTGCGTCACTTCGCTGCACTTCAGCCTTTAATTACATTTATAGATTTGGTTTATGCTGATGATGTAAAACATGATGTAACTGTCGAATCAACATCTTGTCTCACAAGTCTGCTGACATGTCTGGATGTCAACACAGCTACAGAGCCAAACCCCACATCTACTGGCACACGGCCTCAATGTTTCTTTTTAACCTAAGAGGTTTGAATGATAATTAACAATGACAAATTGGCAGAGCTGTTCTACTCTCATTGTCAGATCGTATGAAATTTACAGCAGTTTGTGTGAAGGTAAAATTTGTCATCATTAGTTGTTTTTTTTTTGTAGATTTGATAAAAGTAAAGAGGAGTTCATACATTCAGTACAGTGTGACCTAATCGAGAACTTCTCACTGCAGAGAGTCCTTGACCATGACGACTATTTGGACGACCTGGATGACGAAGACTTTGAGGACGAAACCCCCAAGAGACGAGGCAAGAGCAAGTCCAAGGTGAGTACTGTTTCTTCTTCTGCAGTCAGTTCCCGGTGAGATCCCAGAGGATCGCTGTGGGGGGATGAAATAACCTCAACGTTTGATTTTTGGAGTTCAACTGACTGGATGTGTGTTACTGTTATTGTCTCACCTCTCTGTTTAACTGACAACCTCACCACAGCCTTTCTATTCAACATTCTTAGTTGAATTGAAAGTGTTATAAAAAGATAAATAAACGAATGGGTTTTATAGGGCCGTAGTGACAAGAATGGCAAGAAAAAACAGGAGGCGGCAGCTGCAGCGCTGGAGGAGAGGGACAAACCGTACGCCTGCGACAGTGAGTAGAAGCTTCCTTTGCAACGTCAGTGTCGTGCATGTCAGCAAGAGAGGCTTTTGCTTTTCCCTCCTGAAAGACAAAAACAATCCTTCTGCCATGCATGGTGTGATCTGAAAGACCCCATCTGGAACTTAAGTTTGACAGCATAGAAATTGGAAAAACGTCTGAATGCGTTTTTTGTTCTTTTTTTCTTTTTTTAAGCTTTGTGTTTTTTGTATTTTTTTCCTGAGATGCCGCTCCGTGTGTGCTCTGTAACTTCCTGCTGGCCATCGCTCACTGTGCAAATGCTCACCTCCGCTCTATGAGTCTGCTACTAGCGCGTCAGTCAAAAATTAACCATGTGAAAATAAGCTTCATTAAATAATAAAGGGGTGATGAACGGCGTAGTCTGGTGGTTCCACCTTGGGCCTTTTTGGACGGTAGTTAGAATTCGCCGCCATCACTGTAACACTTTTTGTATAACCGTGTGTGTGTGTGTCAGTCTGTGGGAAGCGCTACAAGAACCGTCCTGGCCTGAGCTACCACTATACACACTCTCACCTGGCCGAGGAGGAGGGCGAGGACCGCGAGGAGATCGAGGCACCACCCACTCCTCGCCAGCCTGAGGAGCAGAAGAGTGAGTCACTCTCTAGTGCTGAGAGAGAGACAGAGAGAGAAAGAGAGAGAGAGAGGGGAAGGAGGGTTGGTTGCATGCCATGTAGCATGTGTGTGTTTGTATAAGGGATGTCTCTCTCTCATTCTTTTTTTATTTTTCCTCCCCGCTCTTTTCATTTTTTTGATTTTCATGAGTTTTGGGATTAGACTCAGTGTCCTGACTGAAACATGCTTGCAGAGTTGGGATTCCTGGCATTTTTTTCAGCATATCATCCATCTTTTTTTTTGTCCCCCCCCCCTCAACATATCCATCGCATTGTGCAAGCGACACCGTGTTAGTACATTCAACAAGTGCGTTTTGTCAGTTGTCACTCATTCATTAGTTTGGATCATTATTCAGTACATCATCGGGGTTAGAAGGGTGTCGTTGGCCGATGTGGCATGAACAGGTCTGTAAAACTGTGCTTCACTCTGCAGTTAGACTCAGTCAGCGACTCTCCAGTTTTGAAATATTCATCTGGAAGAAGATATTATAATATTTAATTCATCTTCCTTGATATTTCAGTTTAAAGTGACAGTTCTAATGTGCACTGAATGGTTTTCTTCACTCATTCTTCTGCTCAGCAACTAAGAAGGGGCCCAATGGGTTGGCACTGCCCAACGATTACTGTGACTTCTGTCTGGGAGATTCCACCTTAAACCAGAAGACTGGCCAATCAGAAGAGCTGGTGTCCTGCTCAGACTGTGGACGCTCAGGTATGAACTTTGCATGTCTCTTAAATTTCTAATTGACTGTTAACTCAGCCATGCTACGCCCCCTTAGTTACTGTTGCTATGCCTGGTTCCTGTTATGCAGTGTATATGCAGTTTGATGACCGTGCCAGATTTATCATTTTCAAATCCGTCGTAATTTATTAAACGGTGGGTTTTTAATTTAAGACAGAAGCTGCCTCAACATTTCATGCCGAAGAACTTTTGCCGGCTCAACTGTAGTTAGCTAGCAAATATAGCCAGTTATAACTATTAGTTGGTTCAAGTTGCGTCTGCGGGTGACTTTTAATGTTTCCAGCTCACTCTTTTTAAAACAGGAAGGTTGTAGAACTGTTTGGATGGTCCGTGGCTTTTTAGTTACAGTTTGGTTAGGTTTAGGCACAGAAAACATCCTGCTTTATGAATTGTCACATATATTCTATAGATAATGTTAAACATCTACATACAAAGCAAAACTGTTACAGATACTACCTGTAGTACTACACCTCTTGCACTTGATGACTTCATATATTTGTGCTAAAAGACCAAACTGCAGGCAAAGAGTCTCTAGCTGATGATCATGAAAAATGTAAACTTCTCTAAATCCAATAAAGAGCGGGAGAGAGCGGCTAACGTCACCCTAAACTGTAAAAGCATCTGTTATGAATTGGCGCTATACAAATAAAATTGAATTGAATTGATTGCCAGTTATGTTAAAGCAGGCAAATAAACTATTTAATCCATTCCTTACACTCCTGCTCCTGTGGTTTTAGTTCTGGAAAACAGACACCACCCTTTAAAACGTGCGTCTTTACAGCGCATTATCGTGCAGAGAAAACCAAACCTGGACACCTCTGCTGTGCCCTGTTGTGGCTGTTAAACTATGATCGTCCAATGGTTTTTTTTGGGAGAGTGGTTCAGTAAACAGAAAATAGACCCTAAGCCCTTTTTATCCAGTATTTATCTTATCTGACAACATTTCTCCTTTGTCCTCTCCTTCCCTCAGGCCACCCGACGTGCCTGCAGTTCACACCAGTAATGATGGCTGCAGTGAAGACTTACCGCTGGCAGTGCATCGAGTGCAAGTGCTGTAACGTCTGCGGCACCTCAGAGAATGACGTGAGCTCCTTTTATGATATCCCCATCATATGTGTGTTTCGATATGTTGGCGCCATTTCTGCTCACGAAATGTAACCTGAACGTTTGCATTATGTCTAGTTTTGATTGCGCTCTCCTTTGCATTAAACTGCACCCATTATTTCAAATTAACTGATGAACTATTAATTGTCACAAGCACTGCAGCTATCATGAACGCAGGTTGGTGGTAATGCTGTTTGGATAAATGACTCTGTGTAAATAAAATGCAGCTTTAGCCTGATGATTCTCTGAGTTTCTTTGTTTGTCCGACTGAACGTGATGCTGTGTTTCTGCAGGACCAGCTGCTGTTCTGTGATGACTGCGACCGAGGCTACCACATGTACTGTCTAAGTCCCCCCATGACTGAACCACCAGAGGGTACGCTGACACCCAACACTTTACTGCAGAAGTTAACACACTCTGAGGACGTGTGCATGTTGTTATCCTTCGCTTATATCATCTCTTTGTACGGGGTTAAAGGCCTGTTCACTCAACCATCTGCTCCTCTGACTATTTGTTTAGAACGTTCTTAAGTTAATGTATTCTTTAGAGGTCTGCTGCACGTTGGTAGTTTTCCAGGCTTCAGGGAGCAGCTAAATAAAAGCCTTAGTCCATGTTAATTAGGATTGAGAATTATGAGGAAAATGTCATAGCTTTTGGTAAGAGTAACATTAATTACTCTGATTTGTGGGTACTCTGAGTTTTAAATGTTCATCATTTAAAGCTGCAATAATAAAAAAAAAAACTGATATTTAAATTTGTAGAAACTTACATTTCTGAAAATCTGCTGTAATCTCTTCCATTGGACCTACACACAGTTGACCAGGCCTGCAATTAACATTATTTTCATTAATAATTAATTAGCAGGTATTTTTTTCAGTCTTCAAATGTCTTGTGTTGTCAGTCCACAAACCAAATATATTTAATTTACAACAATATAAAACAAATCTAAAATAAAAAGAGCAAATCATCCTATTTGAGAATCTGGAAAGAGAGAATGCTTTTATTTTGTATATTCAGGTACAGGACAAAGAAATATCACTGTAGGGCACAAAGGAGAAGAAGTCTTCTTCAGGCCTGAAGAAGATCTTACAGATCGAAACGTTGCCTTAAAAGAGAAAATGGAAATATTTATTTCTCCTTAATGCTTGTTCTTTGACATAAAATACATCAAGTGTTAGAGCATTTAAAGTTTCAGTCAGTGTAAGCATCTTATTGCATTCTCTACATGTGAAGTGTGAAACATATTTAAGAGGAACTTGTTTGTTGAGGAGACAGATTTTAATGATTACACTCCAGTTGTCTTCCCTCAATGAGGTGCTGTGTTGTGAGCTGTGATGTTCGCAGACAACAATAACAGGAACCAGTATTTCCTCCCAGTGATGCTGATGATGTATTTCTACACACCCGTGCCTCACTGTGTTTGTGTGTTTCACAGGGAGCTGGAGCTGTCACTTGTGCCTGGCTCTGCTGAAGGATAAAGCCTCCATATACCAGCAGAACCAGAGCTCCGCCCCCGAGTGACACCATGTCACCAAGTCCCACCCCCTCAGTAACGGGACCCCAACCCCCGATGGAAAACGTCAGACCTCCTCTCAGTCCAGAGCTCCAGGCTCCGTCCAGATGTAGCTGAGCCAGATCGCAGATCAGCTTTAGAAGTCTTAATATCCACAGCGTCAGTGGGGGGGTCAAACTATCACTACCAACCTGCCTGCCGAGCCCCCGAGGCTTGCCGTCAAACATACATATTGTGCGTATATACAGTATAGACACACACACACTCTCTCCTGGACTGTTACACACACACACACACACTAGATGCAGAGACAGAGAGCATGCAGTAACCATAGTAACTGCTGTCTCCATGGGAGCTCCCAGGAGCAAATGGATTAGCATCACAGCTAATTATCTGCACCCTTTCACACTCAAAGACACAGTGTGGACTGTCGAGACAACACAGTTTCTTTTCTGCCAAATTATCTATTTTTACTCCGGGTGTGGGAGAAAGAAAATATCACCACGTATACGGTTGAGGAATATTATTATTATTATTATTATTATTATTACTATTGTTATTGTTCTGGTTACTAGTGGACTTTTGTAGTGGCATTTGTCTGTGTACTTTTATCTGATTGGAGCGTTTTATCTTTTGAAGAGGTTTCCTCCCCGAGGGGAGCCGGTCAGTGCCAAGGTCCACCATCATATGTAATACACAACAACAACGACCCACGGAGCTTTTCATCAATCACATAAACCATCGTTGTTTTTTGTCTTTTTTTGTTTTAAATCAGTGGGACAAAGACGGGAAAACAAAGTCTTAATTTTTGCCAACAAAAAAGAACAACCGTTGGCTTCGACTCATCAAGCTGTTGGCACAAAATGTTTGGTCTTGATACTTAACGGTTGCACCAAAACCAACTTATCATGGCTGTTACTTTAACCAACCACTACACAGCTGAGCATCATCCTGTTCACATAAAACATTCAGTGTAACATCAACATTCATTCTTCAACATCATTTTGTCCGTCAGACAGAGCTACCGCTCTCTTATTTTGAAAAACCCTGACTTTTGATAAGTCAGACCACTGTTTGAACCAGACTGCTGTAAGTCCGTTACATGAAACTAGTAATCACAGAGGTGCATCCTTTTCTCAACGACGTTTTGTGCTAGCCTTTTAGGAACCGTTTGGCAGTGACATCACTCTCCACACGTCAGCCGCTGTCGAACCGACGACACGAGATCATTTACAAACTGTAGCTGCTTTTATCATTTGTCACACTGAGGCAGATTTTGCATGCAGATTGCACCTGTATGAATGCGCACACACACACACAC